AAAATGAAAGATCTCGCTAGTGATACAGTGTTTGAGTTAGAGAAAGTTACTAAACTTGTTAAGACAACCAGTATTATAATGAGCACCAGTATTATAATGCGTATCGAAAAAATCTAAAAAAATGTATGAATCAGTAATACCCACTATAATCATAATTTGTTGATTTTGAAAATATATATATATATATATATATTGTTAAATATATCAATATTTATTTTAGAATGAATTTTTTCCATTGGGATAGCATCTATGAAGCACGGGCACGAATACGGGATATAGGTACGAGACGACACGGATACGGCGATACGGCAAATTTTAAAAAAATAGGACACGGACATGGCGGGAATACGCCTATAAAATTATATATATATATAAAATTATATATTCAAAATATAATTAGTAGAATCTTGTACAGATAAATAAAACAACAACAAAGAACAGAATCAATTTCAATAATTTCATCTCTGTTATAAGAAAAATTTGGACAAGACAAAACAGAAAATAAATGAAAAATAAAGTTGATCCAAATTTCAAACGAAGATATGCAGAAGAGACATAGTTATAATGAACTAAATATGTATATGAATAAACATATATATTTTTAGTCTTTCACAAAGTTTTGTTCATGTAACTTAAATATATATATATATATATATATATATATATATATATATATTGTTTATGAAGAGAGATAATTGAAGAAGAGGAGAGACTGAGAGGGGTGAGAGAAAATAAATTTTGTCTTACAGAAGTGTCGAATCGTGTGTTTAAGCCTTGAACACGCGTGTCCTATAAAAAATAATATTTGGATACTTTACAGAAATGTCGGACACGTGTCCGAGCCTCGGACACGGGTGTCGTGTCCGAAAAGTATCCGACAATAGTACGGGGCCCTTGGGAGGAGTGTCCGTGCTTCATAGGATAGCATGTTGAGAATAATAGATCTCATGTATGGGGAAGGGGTTATCCTTAAATAAAGTAGAAAAGTTTAGGATTCTGATTAGAATAATAAAGGCATGTGATTAGAATAAACATATTTGAATTAGAAGCAAACTCTATATCAAATAGAAATCTTGTTGTATAGAAAAGGTTATTAATAGAAATTTTGGTGTATAGCGAAGTTTATTAATAGAAACTTTTTAATTTTACTCAAATAGAAACTTTGCTGTATATAAAAGCTTATTTGATTTTAGAAGGAAACCGTATAGAAATTACTAAATATTAAAAAAAAAAAAAAAAAAGGGAGAAAATTCCAGTGTTTTTGTTATTAATGCTACAAATTTTGATGTGGGAAAGATAACAGATGAATTAGAATTCTAAGAAAAATAATAAATTAAAATTAAAAACAAACTTTATGTGCTTTCTATTAGTTGAGATAAATTTGATGATTTTTTATTTTTATTTTTTAAAAATCAATTTACGTATGGTGCTATAGTGTCTCATAAACATTATTATTGTACACAACATTTAGGGGAACTTCAGGTAGCGAAGTTTGCTTTCAGGCGCCCGGGTGTCTCTGTTTGTGGTTGATCAAATCTTCTCTACCTTTGAACTTTTTATGAGTTAAAACTTAGGTTTTCTCCAGAGAAAAGAATAGGAAGGGAGTGAAATAAAAACGTTAAAAAAAAAAAAAATCTCACTTTAATAGGGAAGGATAATTATAATATTAAAAATTATAAGAATTAAACTTGTATGGTGTAAGGGCTAACTTGTTATTTCATTTAGACAAAGTGTGAAAATGGAGCACCAGAGTATTATTGTGGAGAGTCAATATTAGATCCCAAAATTTACTGTGAGTAAAAAATACGTTAAGTGCTTAATGATACTTAGATAAACTAAATAGAAGTGATAGTTTCTTATTTTTTTTTTTTTTTTTTTTTTTTTTTTTTTTTTTTTGCGTAAAAGTAGAAGCAAAAATTATGTCAAACAAGCCCTTATTAGTGCAACTACATTATATTTCTTTAGTATATATGTCTAGTATACTTAAATCCTGTAATATTATTTATCTTCATATTTTATTGGAAAAAAATTAGAGAAAAGTTTATTATTTTATGCTATCCAATTACTTTTTGTAATTAAATTTTATTTTTGTCGATCTAATTTTTGATCAAATGTGCATCTCATATATATATGTACACATTATGTAAAATTAAAAATATAATATAAATAATATATAATTTGAGTACACAAATAAGATTTGAACTTATATGTAGTTGCAATCAAAACTATAAATATTACTTTTTATATGTTTTTTTTTATGATTTTCTATTAAAGTATGGTGATGCATTTAATAAAAAAATATAAATTTAAATATTATTATTCAAGACATTAAGGGGAAAAAAAAACTTTTAGCTAAATTCACCTAATTGAGAAAATTGCATAAAACCCCCCTTTGACTTGGTTAGTGCCTAGTGGGGGTATTTTTGGTAAAAATTCAAAAAACAACCCCCGGAGGTTTTTTGGGGCAAAAAAATAATAAAGGAGGATTTACTGCAAAATGGTGAAAGTCAAGAGAGGGTTAAATGCATTTACTTTTCACTCTCTGATAAATGTTATAATAATATGTTTCAATAGAATGTTACTAAATTTAATAACAACAAATTTATAAAAGAAATGGTGAAATTGTTTTTACAAAAAACAAAAACAACCGGAAGATATTGAATGTGCCACTCCATGCACCAGGCCATCACAACCATCCATATTCGCGCGTGTAGGGACAGGCTTAGAAACTCATGTGAGGGTGAGAAAGGGGGCAATAATGAATTTTTTAATAATTTTAGGAGGGCAATGGTAATATTTTATAAGTACATATATCAAAATGACAAAAATTATGGGGCATAATAGCAAAAAAAAAAAAAAAAAAAAATCAGAGGGGACAGTGGTAATATTTCATATGTATATATATATATATGACAAAAATTATGAGGCATAATAGCGAAAAAAAATTAGGGGGGCGGGGGGATGGGGGGCAATTGTCCCCTTGAGTATATGCTTGTTGTCATCAGGTAAATAGAATATCGTCTAAAAAACGACCTTTAAAAAAAAGCAATTACCTAACCTCCAATTTTTAGATTTATCCAAAATCACTGTTGAATTAAAATTAATAATTATTACAAATATATTTAATAATTACCAAAGACATTTATATGCAATTTAACAAAAAAATCCCAAACATGCTCAAAATATCATAAGTTTGGTAGTTAAACTTTGGGATCAGGAAAAAATTAAGGAAATTAAGTAAAATACAGGACCAGGATGTCCATATATAAAAGCATACATGACTATTTAAACAATAGAAATCTTCATCATTGGACAAGCCTAGTAATTATCAATCAGAAAAAGAATTGATATGATTCTTAATATTCTTGTAAATTTTAAGTAGATGAATTTATATGATTGAAAATTTAAGTAGTTGTTAAGTTCAGATTCTTGGAGCCACTTCGATCTACGGTATGATTCTTAATGATAAGCCATGTTTCTCTGACTTAAAATCAACAACCTTTTTTGTTTAAATGAAACTATATATTTTAAGTACATAATGATTGTGTTATTAAATTAACTTTGAAAATTCTTTCAATATGTCAATTCTATAATTTATAGGTTCATATACATTCATGTCTAAAGTTGGTGCGTGTCTTGATTAATGGCTATAGAAGCTTAAATTTAATACAGTTAAAAGATTGGTCTTTATTCATTATTTCATAAAAACACAACAATTTTTATTTTTCTTTCTTTTTTTATTTTTTATTTTCTAAGGAGTAGGTCATAATTCTAGATCATATACAATTATGTTTAAGCTTGAAATTTTCTTGTATTTTATTTAACTTATAACAGATTCTTCTGATCTCGTTTGCTCGGTGCATCGAAACGATATAATTTGAATGCACTGTACTTGTAACAAGTTACTAGACCTATCTTGAACTTACTAGGAAACACTGTTCATTAAGAGCTTATGGGTTTAAGTCCGACTCCCATTTTTTCTTTTCCTGTTTTCTATGTACTAAGATATTTAAAGAAAATTCAAATGAATTACCCATTTTTTCCACTCAATATATATTTGAATTGACAGCTAAAGCCAAAGGACATTTTGGTGTCAAGTTATAAAAGAAAATTCTCTAATGATTATCACAATATATATATATATATATATATATATAAACATAATGCATTTCATCTCTTTCAGGAAATCACTGTTAATTGTGCTGAAGAGATAAATTAGGTACAGATTTGCAGAGAGTGAGTGTCTTCAAACAGAATCAAAACTTGAACTATCCATGTTACACTTGAGAGTGCCAACATTTATAACTGCACCAAACAATACCTCTTATTTATCATCATTTCTTAAAAATCAAAACTAATTAAGATAAAAAAATTTTGTAAATATTTTACTGATTTCTCAATTACATTGTCACGATCCCAAAAGTATTACTGAGCTACATTGCACTAGTCCATTGATATTCGAACAATCTGATGGATGTAATAATCAGAAGAATAAAAAATCACACAAAATTTGCAGATTCATAATTAATGGTTCTTATGGTACATTAATTAACATATTTACAACACAAATAATGAAGAAAATTTCGTTTCTAGCGCAACCAAAATTAAATAAAATAAATAATGATATAATGAGTTAAGAAAAACTTCATACGTATGACTTCAGATTTTTCTCCTTTTGTTTTTTTTTTAACCAACCTCTTTTACTAGTTGCATGGAGGGCACATCACAAACAAGAGACATCAAATTTATAGCTTGCCGTTTTTCGTAGCAAATTTATAGCTTGCCGTTTTTCGTAGGATGTAATTCGTGAATTGACCAAAATGCCCTCATTTCGTTAAAAGACCATAATGTCCTCGTCATGTAAATTGACCAAAATGCCCACAGTTAGATGTAAAAAGACCATGATGTTCCGGAACTGTCATGCCCTTTTTGTCTCTCACCATCGAGTGAATTGACCTAAATGCCCTCGATTCGTTGTCAAGACTTTCGGGTCGGGGCTATCAACTCCCATTATCCAGCATCTCTTCCTTGTCAACATCAGGACACACGCGTCCACCGGCGGCCCACCGGCAACAATCTCCGCTGGCCGATAATGCGTCGGCTATCGGTTTAATTACCAAAATACCCTCCCCAATCGCGGCTCCCACTGTCGCGTTAAGGCACATTATGAGCATGAGACACCGGTAGGCGGGCTTGTCCGGCATCCACAACGCCGAAAAAGCCAAGACCAAGATTTGCAGAGGCAGCGATATCATGACGGTGAAACAGAGCACTTGAATCCTAACCCTAATTCCTTTGTTGATCACCAGAGACACGACCCTCCAACAAGACAACAAGAACCAAAGAGCGTAAGCACCTCCAAACGCGGCAAAAACAATGGTGTTCAACAGAGGGTACGAGCAGAGCACCATTTTGTTACCCAACCCGTCCTTCGAAAGCACGAAGCTCCGCCGGAAAACACCCGGCAAATCCTCCACCCTTGACGGCGAAAAGAAGGCCAGCAATGTCTGCAGCAAGAGGATGGGACAACACGCGATGAGGACGAAAGTGATGGCCCACATTTGACGTGGGTTTCGTTTGTGGACCGAAACGTTGACGAGGAAAAGGAGGGTTACTAAGAAACCTGGTTTAAACAAGCCTAGAGAGAGGACGACATGGACTTTGCAGAGGCTGGCTTGTTGTGATAAGCTTAAAGAGGGCAAAAATGGGTAGAGATAGCGGCGGCGGAAAAAGGGTAGGCGGAGGATCTCGGTGAAGCACCAGAGGATGTTGAAGGAGACGAGGAGGAATCGGACGGTCCAGAGAGAGTTGAAGTTGCGGAGATGGTGGGAGCGGCGGGACTTGAGACGGAGGTGGAAGATGAAGGCGACGGAGAGGAGAGAGAGGAGGAGGAGGCCGGAGATGAGAGAGATGGAGGCTAAGTCGAAAGCCGATTCGCTGAGAGGTATAGGATGGAAGATGGTGGATGATCCATGTTTTTCATTATCTTCGTGAATGGAAGATGAATTTAATGGGGGTGATAAGGTAGATGGGAGAAGCGTCGTCTGGGTGACGTTGGTGCTGCTAAATATGGGGATGAGTTTTCTCATAGAGCGGTGGTAATGGTGGTGGAGGCGGCGGCGATGGTATTACGTAGAGAATTTGCAATTGCATAGTAATTGTTTGTTTGTTTGTTTTGGGTGGTGGAGAGATTGGGCGGAGAGAGGGAGGGGAGGGGGTATAATTCCCTCCTCTTCTCTCAACCGACGGGAAACCAAGCTGGGGCACAGCTACAATAGATTAGGTGAGAGAGAGAGAGAGGAGAGAGAGAAGTTGGTGTGGTGGTGTTATGAGATGTCTCCTAAGATTCCGGTATTGTATGGTTGTCATGGGTTGTACTTCGGCCGACCTTATAGTATTTGTTTGTTGGATTTGGCGTGATTTATTATTATTATTATCTGTATATGCGAATATTCTAGTTATTGCAGATTTTAATTTTTTTATTGAACCCACAAGTGTGATATTTTATAACCACGGGTTGCAACTCGGATCAACCCGATCTCATTTCAAAAAAAATTGGACTCACACCCGTGGATTGAACCCTAAGAACTCAAATTTCATTTCAAATCGGGCTCAAGTATGACTGATAACGAGACGGTGATCGCATCTCCATTCTCGCCTCATTTATCAGAGCTCCCCCGTCCCCACCCAAAACAAGGTGAGGCTGGTAGGACGGGGTGGGGATGAAAGTTTTTCTTTTTTGCAAAAAATAATAAGATTCAAATTAAATTTTCAATTGGAACTTCGAGATTTGATATTATTGTAATAACATTACAATAAAACACAAGATTCCCAAATAAGAAGATCAAAAAAATTAAATCTAATAATTGGAATAGCAATCTAGAATTTGCTTAATGTAAATCTAGTATTTTTAATATAAAATAACTTATAAGTGCAAAATAGTAAATTTTCAATTTAACGATTATTGTGTCGGCAACCAAAAACTCGAACTTATTCCGAATTACAAAACTATCAACTAGAACACTGAATGGTATTGTGGAATGACGTATTGAACTTACTAGTTTTTTTTATCTATTTATTATTCTGTACTCCTTTTGTCCCAAATAAACGTCATTTTTTTAAAATCTAACTTTTTAAGATGATGAGTTTTAATATTTTTATATTATATTAGTAGTGAATGAATTACCAAATTAATCCACTGGGTTCATTCTCATTTTATTGTTTGGTTGTAAATATGAAATTTATAAGAAGTTACACTAATTTAAAATTTAGAAATGAATAAATTTCAAATTGAGTTCTCCAAATTATCCCTCTTAGTAACAAATTAATAAATTAAATTAAAAAATGACATTATTCTATAATAGTAAAAAATAAATGGCGGCAATGGATGGTGGTGACGATAGTGATGGAGGTGGAAAATGGTAGTATGTGGTGGTGTTGGAAGGTAGTGGCGGTAGTGATGGTGAAAGAATGTGGCGATTGTAGTGGTGGAAGGCGGTGGCAATAGCGATAGTGGTGGTGAAAGGCGGCAATGGCAGTGGTGGTGATGGAAAGTGGTGGCGGCAATGAAAGACGGTGGCGGTGGTGGCGGCGATGTAAGGTGGTGGCGATGGCTGTGGTGAAAGGCAGTGGTGGCGGCGGCGATGGAAGGTAGTAGATGGTAGTGGTGGTGAAAGCTGATAACGGTGAAAGGCGGTGACAGTGATGGTTGTGGCAAAGGAAGATGATGGCGGTGGTGACGATGGAAAACTGTGGGTGTTAGTGAAAGTCGATGGCGGTGGTGGTGGAAGTCGGGGTGGTGGTGGTGAAAGGCTAAGGTTTCCGGTAGTGGTGGTTTTTGGACTTGAAACATGAAGATTTTTTGGGAAGTTGATTTTTAAAAAAAAATTACTTAGAAATGGAATGGTAATTCCATAGGTTTAGAACATCTCCAACAGTTTGTTAAAATACTATTTTGTGTAAAATATACACTTCCATGTATGATATGTAATTTTATTTTATTTATTTTTATTTATTTATTATTATTTTTTTTTATCTCCAGCAGCTGTTAATATACACTGCCACGTCACCAATGTGAAAAATTATTGTGTATATATTTTACACAACCTTTTTACACATTCATATCAATATATTTATTTTCTCCTCTCTATTTCTCATTCCATTAACTAATCAACCCTATATTAAGTAGATTTGTAAAAATTATGTGGGATCCAGACATGATACTGGTTGATTGTTATTAGGGGATATATTTTTACGCAAAAGATATAAAACAACCGTTGTAACTAAAAATAAATAATTCAAATTTTTTGTATAAATCTATTATGACACATTAAATTCGCACAAAAAAATTATGCACAACGGTTGGAGATGCTCTTAATATTATAATTTAGAGCAAATAAAGACTTGAATGCTGAAATGATTAAAATATCCCTAGTAAAAAAATAGATAAAAAACTAATTAAATGCGAAATGACTAAACTGTACCTCTTTTAGAATGAATTTGCATACCAAATAAAGGAATGGTTGGAATGGGCATTCCATTCTATTTATGCTGCGTTTGGTGTGCATGAATGAAATACAATGCAAATGAGAATGGAATGAGAATGAAAATAGAATAGAATGACCATTCTCATTATGTTGTTTGGTTGTAAATATGAAATGCGTAGGAATTGAATGATAATAACTAGTCTAGTGTTTGGTTGGACCAATTTAAAATTCAGAATGCAATAAATTTTAAATTGTGTTTTCCAAAATATCACTTTTAGTAACAAATAAATTAAAATAACAAAATGAAATTCTTCTATAATTTTTTTTTAAAAAAATGGTGGCAATGGTAGTGGTGGATGATGGTGACGATGAAAAATAGTAGTGGTGTAGGTAATGGTAGTGGAAGGTGGTGGTGGTGGTGGCAATGATAGAAGGCGACAACGACGGTGTTGTTAGAAGGTGGCGGCGGTGCTGTTGGAAGGCGTTAGTAGTAGTGTGGTGATGGTGGAAGGTGGTGGGGGTGGTAGTGGAAGGCGACGGCAGTGGCGGGTGGTGGCAGTGGTGAAAAGCGGTGGCGCTGGTGGTGGTGGAAGGCAGTGACGGTGGTGGAAGGCGGTGGTGCTTGTGTTGGTGGAAGATGGTGGAAGGCGGTGGCGGTGGTGGTGGAAGGTGGTCGTGGTGGTGATGAAAGGAGGTGGAGGTGGTGAAAGGTGGTGGTGGTGGTGGTGAAAGAAGGCGGTGACGGTGGTAATAAAAAGTGGTGGTGGTAAAAGGCGGTGACAGTGCTAAAATGCGGTGGTAGCAGTGGTGGTGAAATGCAGTGGCGGAGGTGAAAGAAGGTGGCGGCGATAGTGATGGAAGACGGTGGTGGTGGAAGGCGGTAACGGTGCTGAAATGCGGCGGCGGTGGTGGTGGAGAAAGACATTGGCGATGGCAGTGGTGAAAGGCGGTGGTGGTTATGGTGAAAGGCGATGGCGGTGGTGGTTATGGTGAAATGCGATGGCGGTGGAGGTGATGGTTATGGTAAAAGGCGGTGGAAGGTGGTGGTTATGGTGAAAGGCGGTAGCAGTGGCGGTGGAGGGTGGCGGTTATGGTGAAAGGCGATGGAGGTGGTGAAAGGCGGTGGCGATGGTGGTGTTTGCGACAAAAGAAGGCGGTATCGATGGTGAAAGGAGATGGCAGTGGTGGTGGTGAAAAGCGGTGGACGATGGTGAAAATCAGTGGCAATGGTGGTGGTTGTGGTAGAAGGCAGTGGTAGTTTTTCGACTTGGAACATGAGGATTTTTTGGTAAGTTAAATTTTAAATTTTTTTTACTTGGGAATGGAATCATCATTCCATAGGTTTAGTCGTAGAATGGTTATTCCCACTTTAAATTGCATACCAAACAAAGGAATGGTTGGAATGGACATTCCAATCATGCACATCAAACGTAATATTAATTTTTGCACACCAAACACAACATTATGGTTTACTTTTTATAAATTTAATGTAAAAATATTAAATTGGTAATGATACAAAATATAGTACTTAAACTTTTTCAAATATTTCAAGGCAACAAAAAATAAAAAATGTGTACATTTGTTTTTTTTTTTTGAGAAGGAGTGAATATTAGTAAGAACTAAGGCTGCAACTTGGGTTGGCCCAACTCAGCCCAGTCCCAATCCAACCTCAACCCGAATCGGGTTGGGTTAGGTTAGGTCAGCTTGAATTGTACTCAACATGGGTTATGGTCATAACTCGGACCAAATATTTTTGGACTGGTTGAGTCGGGTTGACGGGTTGAATTTTTTTTTTTTTTTTTTATATAATTTTTTTTCAAAATTTTTTATATATATTATATATATGTATATTATATATATTTGATTATATTATTATTAAAATATATATATTTTTTGGGCAAATCATTTCAGCCTCCCCAATCGCCTCCATCTCTATTCTCGTTCTCACCTCTGAAATTGCCCACTCTGTAACGACCTTAACTGATGCCAAAAAATTTTCTTCCGCTAAAAATCGTCCTACAACAACATGTTTAAAAGCATTTTTTTTAACATGTCCCAACACAATAAACATCTAATACATTCCATGGTGGTACAACCACATACTATATTACCTAAGTATCATAATTACAGTCCCAAAATACAAGATTAAGATCAAATGTCTATGCTTTACAAGCCCATAGGTATAATTATAATATTCAAAGTCCATAAGTCATCATACAAAATATATTATGCTTAGTCTTACAAAAATAGAGTGACCCAAGTACAAAAAACAACAAAATAAGTTCCTAATCTATACTAAGTCTGTGGTAGAATATCATCCGCCACTTCTTTCCTGTTTCCTGTAAAAAGAATGTTAAATAAATGGGGTGAGCAAAATTGCTCAGTATGTGGTGCCTAAGACTCGCCTCTTGTATCCCTGTGACCCCAAATAAAGAATAGAACAATAGGAGTCGGGGTCATACTCTGTCGGGAAAATATAACATCATATCCAAATTCAACATTAGCAACATAGTGCAATAAAATGTAATGCATGCCAATGTCGCTTCCTGTTTTCAAAACCATCAATCTGTCACTTTTCAAACTGTTAATGTAACCCCCTTTGGTACCCCCTCAGCGCCGAGAGAAGGATTGGCTACTGTCCCTGACCGTTGGTAACTCCGCAGCGTCATTATGGGGCCAGATAGTTCAACCACGCTAGGGCAATCTCCCTAATTCCCTCTAAGTTACATTAACTTACTGGCCCTTTGGTGACTCCGCGGCGACCGGGTTTTCTCAAAACTCTTTTTATCCAAAGCTTATTTCCCGAAATCCCCTTTCTCATTTTCAAACCTTTTTCCCCGTTTTCATGCCCAATGACATGCATGAACAATACATGCTACTCAATGCCATGATAAATGGAAGATTCATATACTACACAATTTAGCATGCTTCCCTTTAGCAAAATTTCTAATAAATTACTAACATCATGGGCATAAGAAATCAACATATAGACATGTATTCCACATAGTAAGTTTTTGACAAGTTATCAAGCACACAAACATGTAAAATTGGCATTTAAGCATGCTTTTTCACACAAAAGCCACTTATACACATAATCATGTACTCCATATACAACAATCAAATCATTTTAGAGGTAATCAACACCAATAAGCATGTTAAGCTACAATTAACAGAGGATAATTCACTAGGGAACATAAATTTCAAGGATTAGAAACCTTTACCTCTTAATTTGCGAAAACCCTAAAAATGGGTCTCTAAATTTGAAGTCCCTGGGAAGACCAAAAACTGAAATTGCTTGTATGAGCGCGAAGAGCTCGTCGCGGGCTTCGTTTTGCCTCAAACGGCACCTTAATCCACCAAGAAATGAGAGAGGAATCTTGCTTCAAAGATTTGTTTCCAAAGAAAAGAAAAGAAAAAAAAATAAAAATAAAGAGAGAATTGAGAGATGAAGGAGTTACGGTAGAGAGAAAGCTTGTGAGGAAAAATGGGTGGTCTCTAGACCACTTAAGGCTTAGTGGTGAGTCCCACAAATTTTGAATTTCTTTTCTCTTTTTCTTTATTCTTCCATTTTACATCACACAACATGTAAATGCACCTTATCTAAATACCATATAGTTCATGTAAATTAAAATGCACAAAATGCAATTGGACCCAACCACAATCCCGAACACAAAATGTGAAAAGACCAAAATGCCCTTGCATAAATGAAATTCTGAAAAAAAAAATGAAAATGGTGAAAATCGGAACCGTCACAATCTACCCTCCTTAAATAGATTTCGTCCTTGAAATCTACCCTCCTTAAGAAAAAGGTCCACAACCACAACTCTCTAAGAATACCTCACAAAACCCCGAGATTATGAACCCACTGACTTTACTGCTTTTGACATTGGATGCCACCAATACAGCCACAAAAACCAATGCGGTTACCCAATTCCTACCACGTCATAATACAAGACCAACTAGACCATACATCTGACTCATAATGGACATCAGTCCACTCAACACTGCCACGAAAGGCTCCAAGCCCAAAAGAAAAACGGTCACCAAATCACCAATTAAGACGACATCCAACCACAACTCATCCTCTAAAGAACACACACCAAACCACAAACAAAGAATCCCGTCCATCTCTCAATCCATCTCAACTCTAGTTTATACGTCCCTGACAGACCAAACACTTACTATCCAAGAAGTAGCTACACCACCATATAACCGTACCAACAAATATTAATCATACTTATACAACAATCATTACACTTAACAACTTCAACATGATCAAACAATGAGTCCTCCAATAACCACATAAACATTTATCACCAAATCAATAAGCATACTATCCTGCACCCAAGGCACAATATCTCGAAACAAGATCTTTAATAATCAATGATCGTACCACAATCCTTTTACTGGACACTTGGTCCATCCTGACATACCTCGTCACCTGAGATAACTTTCTGGATCCACACCGACACACTGACATAACACCCAAAATCATATTCTCACTATTTATGACAACTCGAAACAATTATTGACCTTTGACCCGATATCGTGTTAAAGAAGAATTGATTCAGGTGAAATGGTTGGCCAGGCCATTCCCATCCTCAATCTAACCTCAACACAGACGTCGTTCCTGTCCTCAGGTCCAAACCTCGAACACAGTCTTGCACAGTCCACAAAACAATAATAATATCCACTCAATATCCATCCATTGTTACACATAATCTCAATAACTATACAATCATATACCTATCCTCAGAATCCCAATCATAACACAATCACATAACTATAATAAACACGACAATGCGGCACCAATGTCCCAATCATTAACCAACATCAAAGCTCTCAAATTTTCTCATAATACTCATACCGGGTAAACAATTCCATAATATCATCCAATCCAATTTTGACCTCGTCAAAATATACAATGCAACTATCTCATACCTAAGGTCTAAAACCCAAGATCAATCATTCCTATTATCCCCAATGGAATTCCATAATCCCTCTCTAAATGCATAACATTCAATAATACCAACACCTGTCCTCAAGACATCGCTATAATCAATCATTTATAAAAACATCTGAATACATGAGTCACATCACATCACCTATTCATCCTCAACCTTTCATTCACGACAATATCCTTGCCGCCATCGCAACCAACAAATATTAGAAACACAATCCCCATTCGACAACCTGTGCCTCATATCATACCAGTTAAAACCATTCTTCAAAACAAACACCACAAAACTAAAGGTTATACCTCCCTCCGTGGAAGTAAGTTGACCCCTTCAATCAGAACCTCAATCGACGAACTCTAACAGCGCAACACCCACTCACAAATCCGTCCGTCCATAGATGCGCACAACTCCTAGACAGAGACAAGACCCATAACAACGACGTCTTTGCTAAGACTAGAACTAACGGAAGGGTAATTAACCCTGCTCTCACAAGAGACTGACGACTCGTGCTCAAATGCACCAGACAACTTGTCACACGCTACTCATCGTTTGTTCAACCATGGACACTCAATCTCACCTGAGACGTAAAGAACTCCTTACGCACAAGGAGAAAACCAACTGGAAACATATACGGAACTACGAACACTATCTAGGCGACCTCGCCACAAACAAACCGTCACACTCTATCAACACAAAAACCTCGCACACACTTCTCCTTAACATTATGCTAACCAAACTAATCAGATAAAAGCATTGACACCCTTAACATATTAACACTAGGAACCATCACTGTACGTTGGACATCGCGTCCCATCCTACCCGATAATCACCCAATGAAAAACTCTATGAAATCACTTGTTCCACCTCTACCCTTTGAAGTCTACACTGCCTCAATCACTGTACGTGTAAAACCGGTGATCTCAGTCACAATAACCCACTGACTCTTCAAAAGAAAAAGGTGCCTATA